CCACATGGAAACTTGGTGGCCCATGGTCAATCAGTATCTCCTAAGGCCCAGCAGCAGGCCTATATCTGTGTCTCAAAAGGAGAGTAGTTATCTTTCTTTGGATGATGGCAGGGTCTTGCTCCAGAGTCTGTGCTGTGATTCACACAGAGGGCTCTATCAAAGGCTCCAAACAACATTCCTATCTGCCACCGACATTCCAAGCACCATTAAATCTGCTGGATCATGTGGCCCATGTGCAAAGCAGCTTGCACAGCAGGCTGGACCTGTTGCAGAGCCCCACTCAAAACTAGGAGTTTTTCTGACACTCTCTTGTTCTGTGCCCCATTTAAACTAGCAGCTTTTCAGCTCACTTAGTACATGAGCCAGAATAACACACACAAAGGAATACATTGCCTCCAAAATCCAACTAAGCCCACTAGGTTTTGTGCCTTTTTGTGTCTTATGATGGAGTCCATATGGCAGATGACAGCCAACATTAAGACCTGGAGCTGAAACAGTTAAGACTGGGCCAGACACTATAGATATGTATCCTGTAAGTAAGACTTATACTCACTGTTCTTACAGCTTAGCTAGGCTTAGCCTTGAGTTAGAAAATGACAGCATGCTACACTATGTCTCTAAGTTACAAGTGAAATAAACATAAGTCTTCAAAAGGACTTCAGAAACAAACATTTCTCCATGAAATGACAGAGGTAAGTGGTGGTTTTAACTTAATATTTAGTTGCCAAGGAAACCGCCTCATTCATCACTCCACTCATCCACTCTCTCTGCCCTCACCCTGCATTATGTTCCTCCATAGCACTTAGTACTATCACATGCCACAAATTCACTTATCATGCTCTGCCTTTTCTAGCAGAATGCCAGCTCTTAAGAGCCAGGGATTTGTCTTGTCCACCCATGTGTTCCGAAGGCCCGGAACAATATTTATTATAATATTTAGTAGGCTTGCAGTACATTTTTATTGAATAAAATAATCTCTGTAGCTATATCTATATAATCACATTTGATAAAAATGAGTTTATCCTTATTTTGAAGGTGTGGGTTTATGCAGAAAAATAAAATTCTACATATAATCTACTAGTGTAGCTATGAAAATTTTAATTTCAAAATAAGAGTAGAGAAATAAAAAAGTGTATACTGACAGCTAGATCATCTTAACCTTAATATAATGAAATGCCTCTGCTCTTGGAAACCAAAACCCACATGCTTTGAATGTATCACTAATGTGAATAAATCTTTCTGCCCCAAACTTAGGCATCTTTGCTATTAACAAAAATAATTCATTTTCCAAGTAAAATTTAATGCTATATTCTGTACTTCTGATACTATTTTTTTCAGAAAATAAAGCTAAGTTAAATATACCCTCCAGCATTTTACATTCAAAATTTCATGATGCTATTTACATTTTATGGATTTGTTTATTTATTTATGTATTTTTTTGAGATGGAGTTTCACTCTTGTTGCCCAGGCTGGAGTGCGATGGTATGATCTCAGCTCACTGCAACTTCCACCTCCCGGGTTCAAGCGATTCTCCTGCCTCAGCCTCCTGAGTAGCTGGGATTACAGGCATGCACCACGATGCCTCGCTAATGTTTTTGTTTTTGTTTTTTTAAGTAAAGACAGGGTTTTACCTTGTTGGCCAGGCTGGTCTTGAACTCCTGACATCAGGTGATTCACCTGTCTTGGCCTCCCAAAGTGCTGGGGTTATAGGAGTGAGCCACTGCACCTGGTCTATGGATTTATTTATATGCATTGTCCTTAAAAAAATTTATGCAGCTTCCTACCTGAAATTTCAATTTCTCTAAATTCTGCTCACAGTCCCCACACTCAAATCATTTAGTATAGCTTAACCAACTCTACCAGGTAGAAAGGCTCTCTCTGCTTGCAGTACCTCCAGCATGCTTTCAGTGAGTGTAAATACAATTAGCATAAAATCATGTGGCACCTAAAGCTAAAACAACTGAAATAACTAAGAAAAACGAAGAGCACATGTAAGAAGCAGGAGGCTTAACTGCACTGGGAACCAGCCAAGGGAATTCCCAGCGCCCCTCACGTGCCTTAAGCTCTCAGTGCTTCCGTAGCTTCCTTAAAGTAAGACAAGTAACCAACTATGGGTTTATAAATTCGATAATCAGAGGTCTTTAGAATTCTTTATCAAGAGAAATATGGATTCAGCTGCAGGCTTTGGACAGGATGGCAGCTCCAGCTCTGAGCCAAGAGCTGAGAATGTGCTGGCTTGACAAACGGATGCTCAAGCCATCCATAAAAGATAAAATCTAAAAAGTCAAAATTTAAAAAAGGTTTACTGCAAACTAAAAATAAGCACAAATTTTGATAAAACATTTCATGAGGCTACAAGTTATTGGAAGGACTCCTTTACTGCATGCTGGGAAGATAATTCTGTCTTATATGATCCCTAGCCAAACTAAGCTAACTAAGGCAGTAATTTTGATAATGCCCCAGGGCTCTGAGCAACCCTAGGATACTTTCCTGTACAAAGTGACAATGCTGATTCATTCCCTCAGGAATAACACAGCCTCATCATACCTCACCCTCAAAAAAACCCTTAGCAATCCAAAGCTACTCTGGCAACTGTGAACTTCCCTATGTTGCTTTGGTCACACAGAAAGGAGATCATCATAATATTACTAAATAACAAAGAATTTGCAGAAGCAGGATTCGTTATCCTTCCATCCCAGGCAGGTCACCAGCAAAATGACTTTAAACAGACATCCTAAGGAGATACAATTATCTTCTTCAATTTCCTCCACTATTTCATTGGTTCTCAAACTTTAGAGTATCAGATTCATCTGTAGATTGAGGCCTTGTTAGCTTAAATGGCAGACTGCACAGGGACCCTGATGCCCACCAGGGTCCTCCAGGTGCCAGCCAAAGCCCAAGTGCCCTTTAAGGCAGGGGTCCCCAATCCACCCACAGGCCGTGGACCAATATCAGTCTGTGGCCTGTCAGGAACTGGGCTGCATAGCAGGAGGTGAGCAGCAGGCAAGCCCGCATCAGTACTGCCTGAGCTCCGCCTCCTGTCAGATCAGCAGGGACGTTAGATTCTCCTAGGAGCGTGAACTCTACTGTGAACTGCTCATGCAAGGGATCTAAGTTGTGCATTCCTTATGAGAATCTAACTAATGCCTGATGATCTCAGGTGGAACAATTTCATCCCAAAACCATTCTCTCCCTACTCCCCCAGTTTATGGAAAAATTGTCTTCCACAAAACCGAGTCCCTGGTGCCAAAAACACTGGGGACTGCTGCTTTAAGGGCTCAAAAGAATGAAGAATAGAGCAGGTCCTCATTATTCTTAAAAAATACATCAGAGTACTTGGAAGACAGTGACTTTTCTATCAGTTGTTTTAATTTGTTCTCTAAATCTACTCTTAATTCTAAGGGAACATATAACATGGTATGTAATAGAATGCAAAGAAAACATACCAGTCTGAATGTTTGGTGATTACATACACACACACACACACACACATACACACACAGACATACATATACATATATATATCTTAAACACAAAAATTAAACATTTTATATATTTACTAAAAATTAATAAAATTCAGAATATCCCAAGACATGCATAAGCATCAAAATAACAAATCAGGCCAGGCTCATGTAAAGTGCCAGCATGCAGCATGCACTGTACTGCATGACCTCCCTGCTCTTCTCAGAAAGGACATCATGAACCCTCCCCACTGATACAATGTAAATGCAGGGAGCTGCATCCAATGTGTATTAATATTTATATGTATGCTTTGATGAGTTCTAAAAGTACCCCATTATAGGTACTCATAGGTAGGTAGAACATGAAATGTTATCCTGTCTAATCTGGATAAATAAGTCCCTAAACTAAACTTCTAAAAAAAATACTTGACTAACCACACATCAGGAAATTCCTGACTTTTCCAATCCTCTACATGGATGAGTCACTAGAGTATATTTTGCTATAGGATAGTCCAGAGGCCATTACAAGATATAAAAATAGGTGAATAATCCTAAAACTCTGAATTAAATCTCTCAAAGCAAGGTTACCTTTACATTCCTTCTTTAAATCTAGATACAGCAAAGACAGGAAATGAATGGTGAATATATAAATAATTCTATAGCTAGATTGTTATAGGCATGAGAAGACTATCATCCACAGACTCAAGCAAACATAAAACGTGGACTCTTAAACATACAACAGTTTCAACAACTTTGCATAGTTTTTATATATAAAAGTGAATTTATGACGTTAATCTACCATATGGGAGGGCATTAAGTCATAGTTCACTTAAATCACTTACCAATTAACTTCAAGTACCAAACAGAATTTCTATAAATCTAAATCTCTTTACTAAGGGATAGCTCAAGCATTACCTAAACATTCCCTACAGAGGCTTTCTGTGCAGCAATGTCAGGGATGCTCCATATTAAACAGTCTCTACCATTCCTTATATTTCCAAATTCAGTGATGACTTCTTATAAGATGAGATGTGAACAGTGAGAAAAAACTAAATAGTTGAAAAAATATTAAGAGAGAAGTTCCTGTTACCCTTATTAGAATATTTTAAAAAGGAAAGAACAGGGGCTGGGCATGGAGGAAGAAGGGAAGTTATGGCCTCTGTAGAGGATTAAATGATGACCTACATAAAGTGAGGAACACTTAGCATTAATTCTCATAACTTTTTTAAATTTAAAACTTTAAGGCCAATATAACTTTCTAAATCTTTCTGCACACTTTCATTTTTAATTACCCTTGTAACACAGCAATATATTACTTTTAAAGAGAACTGGAACACAATTTTCAAATATCACATGCCTCAAGGGATATAGTAATAATTTTCAGTTAAATTACATTAACATGCACTATCACTAAAACACATATATACACATATCAAAAGAACATTATGGCTCTGGAAGCACCCTGAGTTTATAGAGACCCTTAGTCATTCTAAAATGTACAAAGGAAAAATGTGTTCTGCAAAAATGAAGTTTACTTACTTGTATTGATCAGAAATTGATTGGACACACCAGGATGATCTACATCATGTATTGCACTGGCAAAAATTGCTGCAAGAATCTCCAAATCTGTAAACACGGCCTGGAAAATCAGACAATATAGATAATATTACTATTCTACAATGATATGAATTAAAAGTATAAACAAATGAGAAATCTCTAGAATTTAAATGGAAAACAAAATGGAGCTTCAAAATGTGTTATAATGTGTCAAGGGAGAGTCTTAGATACTTATGAACTTTTGAAGTATAATCTTGGAAGAAAACATTTTATCTAATTTTATTACATCTCATGATCAAATGTTTTCTATTCACTATTTTTTAAAATATTATTTTAAAACTCTCTGAAATTCTTTTAAAATAAAATAACAGTTTATTTTCTAAGTATTTAAGATGTCTAAGAATATTTTGAAAATGTACATAAAATTAGTAAGACATGAGCAATTTTTTTCTTTTCTTTCATCAAAACCAGGGTTTCTCACCTTCAGCACTATTGACATTTTGGGTCCGATAACTGCGTAGGAGGCTGTCCTGTGCATTGTAGGATTTTTAGCAGAATTCCTGGCCTCTACCGACAAGATGCCAGTATCATGTACAACTAAAAATGTGATAGTTGTAACAACCAAAAATGCCTCCAGACATAAATAAAAATATTTTAAGAAAATCAAATTGCTTTAGTAAACAACTAACGAAATAACTTCTTAGGATTTAGAAAAATTAAAGTATTTCCTTCTAATACAATTCTATGAAAAATATCAATATATTGCTCATGTTTTATAAAACATTCTTTGGCCTATAAATAAAAGCCGTCAGACTACATTTCAAGAAAACAAATTAACAAAAAGTGAATAAGCCAGATGTGCTTTATGAAATGTCCAGTGGATCATTTCAAAGAAGCAATATCATAAACAGATCAATCATTAAATCTGTGACCAACTTTCACAAGCAAAATCCATCAAAGACTTGACTGTCTATTCACCACAGCATTTTCCCCCATAAGTCAATAAATTACACTTCCAATGAATCCAATTATTTTCTCCATTGAAAACCCGTCAGATAAAAGTTTAATAGACCTTTATGAGTGGCAAGTTAGTGTTCTTGAAATTTCAGAAAACAGATTTACCTCCAAAGCAGGTGTAGATAATAGCACATGAGTAGACTGGACAACATCTGCAGCATGGATATTGTTGTGATAGGCCACATCAGCATGGTAATGGTCTTCAAGAGTCATAAGATATGTAATTAAAGTATCTACTGGAATTTTAAATGTTTTTAATAAATCCCGTTCCTGTAGGGGAAAAAAATCATTTTAACATTTTTGTCTTTATGTAAACAATTTCTCCATAGAGTATGTTTAAGAAAAAAACACACACACACACCAGTGTTGCCAATGGATAACCTGGAAATGGCAACTGCACTCTCACATGTCTAGTGAGGAAAATGGGAACCTTTGAGAAGATCCAGGGACTTTGGGACAAAACCAAAGTTGGGTTGTCCTGCTGGAACCCAAGAATACTACGCCCTGGCCGTATGGTGTCAGGAATGAGGTGCCAACTCTAAAAGTTTCTGTGTCCCATTATCATGGAGGCAGCTCCAGTCAAGCACTATTAATTCAACCCCTGCATCACACCAACTGAAAATCAACGTCCTCTCTAGGGCTGGAGTTTCCCATTCCAGTCCCAAGGTACCTACAACATCCTCAACTTCTCATTTAAATCCCACCCTGAGCTGGAGCAAAGCGTCAGTAAGAGCACGAAATAGATATGGAGAAAGAAGCAGGACACAAAAAAGTGACTGAAAAAACTATATTCTCAGGTTAGCCAGCAGGGGCTTTATTCATTTTTTTTGAAGTTAGTACTCCATTTTCTATGCCAGTCAGGTTCAGATGACTAAGATAATGTCTAAATTATTATTTTAATAAATTGCTTCAACTTGGCTATATTATATCTTTATCTTAAATGCAAAAAAATAACAAAATTGATGTATTTGTGGTTTATACACACTCCACCTTTCTGTATCTTTACTTGTCCCTTGGCAAAGGAGCAAATAAGGATAAAAGTATAAAAATAAGCAAAAGATGGCAAATATTAAAAAAGACAAAATGTATGCACAAGCTACAGACTGGACATTAAGTTCCTAAATAAAAGAAATGTAATAGAACTCAACCACATTACCTGAAAAATGGTGTGCATGATAACAGTCAAGGGCCGGTTACCAGACAACTCTGCTATTCTGAAAACATGAAGACCCCATTTGTTCACATCTTCTAGTTCCTGGAGTAAAAAAAATAAAAAGATACCAAAAAATTAGAAAGTAGAGTAAAATATGACTCAATGAACACAATCATTGAAAAATTACAGACTTTAGGTGGCCGGGCATGGAGGCTCAAGCCTGTAATCCCAGAACTTTGGAAGGCTGAGGCGGGCGGATTACTTGAAGTCAGGAGTTCGAAACCAGCCTGCTCAACATGGTGAAACCCCGTTTCTACTAAAAATAAAAAAATTAGTCAGGTGTGGTGGTGTGTGCCTGTAATCCCAGCTCCTTGGGAAGCTGAGGCAGGAGAACTGCTTGAACCTGGGAGGCGGAGGTTGTAGTGAGCCAAGATCACGCCAATGCATTCTGCACTCCAACCTGGGCGACAGGGTAAGACTACGTCTCAAAACCAACCAACCAACCAACAAACAAACAAAAACAAAAACCCCAAAAAACAGACTTCAGTGTAACGATTGTTAGATTTTTTAAACAATGATCCATTTTAAATGTTAACAGACACACCATGTAAGCATAGGCAAACTTTAGGCACATTTACTTAAATGTACTGAGAACTGAATAGTATGGCTTAACCTTAGGACTTTGACATTACAACATATTTATGTACTTTAAGTATCAATCACAAAGCATTTAATGGATAAAATCTATTCACAAAACCTTAACTGTTTTCCTAAAACCCAGAAGACATGACAGATTTCTAACTCTTTAAGGCCAAACAATGAAATGAAGATGCAAATAATCACCTCCCAAGCCCCTAAAACATACATACCAAACCACCTGTCTAAGGCACTTTACAAGGAGCTTTATAAAATGCCTGCCCTTCAAAAAAAAAAAAAAAAAACAAAAACAAAAACCAAAAACAAAAAAATAAAACCTCCAATTAAAATCATCATACCTTGGCAAGGACATCTTCTTGTTCAGTTTTAACTCCAAATCTTGGAATACTTGAATTAGTCAGACTAGAGCTGTGCATCAATTTCTTGACTCCACTGATCTGAGACATTGGTCTTTTCTTTTTCTCCTTTTCCTTCTGAGTTGGAGAAGGAATTTCCACTTCATGTTGCTTATCTTGAGAAATTCAGAAAATGTTCTATATTTATTATTAATTCTATCTGTTTTTATGTCATCATATGCATAACTGGAAGGATTATAATTGATCATTATATATTCCAGGAAATGTTCCCAACTAAAAATTTTCCTTTTAGAGAGTTCAGTATTTACATTTGAATTGGACTTAATTTGATATCTTCAAACACAAAATTAAGCAAATAAGTTCCACTACAAAATAATAATATCAAATGCATTCCATGGTTACCTCTTTGATACAATGTCCTAATAAAAAATGTTGCAAGACTTAGCATGACAGCCGACTCAGAGAATACATAACAGGTGGTTATTTCCACTGTTCATCAATTCCATTCCTATTTGAAATTGACTTAATGAACTGAAAATTGTTCTTGCCAACTAAGGACTCCAGTTTCAATACGTACTTTGAAATGGTAGAAACTTTATATACAAATGTCATGAAAACAGCAGTATATAAAACTAACAGCTAACTGAAATGGGTAACACTGTGGGAGTTGAAACAGCAGGTTTTGGATGACTTAGATTAATTCTGCTACTTTTTATTTCTGTATGATAGTGAGATAAGGGTTAAGTCCCCAGGTTTTATGGGAGTATAGAGAATCGTAAATATTACCTGATAACTGAATACACACATAAGCTAATTGTGTTCTATAGTAAAAGACCTAACATGTCTTCATACTTTCATCCACGATTTCAAGGCAGTGATAAACAACTCTAACTCATCCTTGTACATAGAACACGTTCCATAAGTGTTTAATATGTTAACTATATATAACAGCAATTTTGTTTTGAAAGTAAGTCCAGGATACATTCAAATTACTGCCCTTTATTTACTGCATTTTCTTTCTGTGGATGAGGTACAAGAGTTGTCCCAGGACACCAAACTCAGTCATTATTAGCAAACTTTTATTTAGCATTTGTATTTTATCCACCACCAGTTTACTAGGCTTGATGTCCACGAGACTGTCAATTCATCGAGGGTAGGAATCATTTCTAATTCATCATTCAACACCTATTGCCCAACAATGGCTGGCATTTAATAAGAATTGGTTCAATACATGAATAGATCTCTCTATAAAATATATTTTACAGTTTGGTACTATGAAAAAATGGCAATATATAACCTTAATTTGAGAATTCCCAAAGTCCTAAATAAAACTAAGAACATGTACTTTTTCACCTGCAACTCTAAAATTCAGAGGCGTATAGTGTCAAATTATTAATATGACAAATGAAAACAAATAGAACTTCTAACACTTGTTAGGTTTCCAAAATGAGTTGGCACCCCAATCTTCCTATAAAAACAAGCAAACAACTGAAGAAAACATTTTTAATTGCATGTTGTTATTCTCACCTAAGAATGTGTTTGATATAAACTCTGACACTTGATTTCCAGACCGACTCATTTCAGAGAGATGGGTGAGCTCCCGATTAAGCATCCTTTTAAACTGAAAAACAGAAAAGTAAAATGAAATAATAGAAGAGGAAAGTTGAAGTGAAATACATATGCATACTCTGAGATACAGGAAGATATGCCCAAAGAATTTTTAACTTGTCCTGACAATTTGGAACAGTGCCTTCCAGCAGAACTTTCTTCAATGAGGGAAAACACCATCATCTGTGCCTCCAATGAGAGCAGTCACTAGCCACAGGTGGTTACTAAGCATTTGAAATGTGGCTAGTGTAAATGAGAAACCAAAATTTGAATTTTAGTTAATTTTAACTACTTTTAATTTAAATAATCACATGTGGCTCATGGCCACCAGTTTGACCAGCACAAATTTAGACTCTCAAGGACTGAAGGGAAAATCAGGAGAAATAAGCAAAGAAAAGCAAATTAAAAATTAAGATGTATTATTAGTTATTTAGAGAAGAGAGAAACTAATTTATAGCACATAAAAGTGTTGCCATACAATAAAACATGGAATGCTTTCATCAATTTATCATGAGCAGAAATGAATATATATATACTGATCAAGGTCTTAAAATTTAGTCTTTTACTCCAAAGCAAAACTTAATAGACTCGAGTACTCTTCTAGAACTATGGAGAAGTAAAATATCTAAATAAATACTGTATAATGTTTCCTTTTAAAAGTTGTTTTTCAAGTAAGAGTATAACATTTATTGGTTCTCAACATCCACCAAATTTACCATTTTCCCAAGTCACTAAATAGGAAACAGGTCAATTTTCAATAATCTACTTCACAATTTTTATTACTGATGCCACAGTGCCTATTTCATTGAAAGAAACACTGGAATTAACCTACCAGCACCACATGGCATTACCAGTATCCAAAACTCCCCAAGATTTTATACTTCCCTAACCCCCATCAGCTATTTCTTAAGCATTAGGCATTTCAGAGTCCTTTAACTCTGAAAACAGCCCGACAAGGCCTTTTAATAAGCCTTCAATATTTGCCTTAATATACAGAAACAATATATTTTTTCTATACATAGAGTAACTGCTGTTAGATACTTGATGAGAAAAAAATGTCAGATGCATTTACTCTAATCATTAGATTAGCCTTTAAAATTTGGAATTTCACCATAAATTTTCATTTAAGTATGAAGGTAAGTGTTGAGTTTATATTTTAGTAATGTTTGAAATATAATTCTTACTCAGTATTTATTTAGAATTATTTTACTTCTCTGCATAATTCATACCAAGATGGCCTGACTCTATACCGTTTGCTAAATAACTTCCAAAGTCAATCTTACAGACCATCTAGATTAGGTTTTAACTCAGCATTTAACTGTTATCAAAACAAACAAAAAACCCTCAACCATTTCAATGTACCGTTGGATGAGAGAGATGTGTATTCGCATTCCAGCGTAGTCAAAAACAAAGAACTGGCATGACCAGCACAAATTCTGGTTGTTAAATTACTGGTCTAGAGAGCTTAGTCTCAAACTTAGGAACACTAAGTTCACTTCTTTGTTCACATGTTTTTATAACTCCTTTCTCATTATAAAATGTACATGTGCTATAGAAAATTTAGAAAGCTATATTGAAAAAAAGAAAATAATGTAAATCTCCACTGCTGGAAGATAACCACAGATAATTTGTCAAATTTCCTTCTATGCCTTTTTTCCACCCTTGTATGTGAATATATATTTTTAAAACTGGCATCAGGTGGTACACAGAACATGGGTTACTGCTTGTGTTCACTCGGCATTATATCTTATAACCTATGAAAAAAAATAAACTTTGGGCCTTCTAAGAATATTGGTAGACATTTATAATAATGTTTAAACATTTTTCTGTCCCTCTTTACAAAGTTATAGTTTCTTGAGTAAATTATGGGCTATCAAATAATTTAATGAGCTAATATAGAAAGTGTCTTCTATTTAGCCTGGCACATAGTAGATGCTCAATATTATTTGAGTTCCATCTCCCAGCTCACTTTTTGGCACTCAGTCCCTAACTTTTGTGCCTTTCATAGTAATAGCTGATTTTTATCATTGCAGGTCAGACAGATGAAGGATTTGACTATAGTTATGACCATAAAAATACTTACTTAAATTGCTAGCTCCTCTTTCTCAAATCCCATAAAGAATTTGGAATAGCATTAGTATGGGAAACCATAGCTATGTCTCAAAAGCACAATTAAAATGTCATGCATACACAGGTTTAAAAAAAATCGTTGCTTAAGACTTGAAACCAACCCAGATGTCCATCAGTGACAGAATGGATTAAGAAAATGTGGCACATATACACCGTAGAATACTATGCAGCCCTAAAAAGGGATGAGTTCATGTCCTTTGCAAGGACATGGATGAAGCTGGAAACCATCATTCTCAGCAAACTAACACAGCAACAGAAAACCAAACACCACATGTTCTCACTCATAAGTGGGAGTTGAACAATGAGAACACATGGACACAGGGAGGGGAATGTCACACGCCAGGGCCTGTCAGTAGGTAGGGGGTTAGGGGAGGGATAGCATTAGGAGAAATACTTAATGTAGATGATGGGTTGATGGGTGCAGCAAACGACCATGACATGTGTATACCTATGTAACAAACCTGCACGTTCTGCACGTGTATACCAGAACTTAAAGTATAATAATAATAAAAAATCTTTGCTTTACAGATAAATTCACTTGGAAAAATATACTCATTAGGCAAAGCATATTCCAAAGAAAAGAGTCTGCTAAACATTTTAAACACATATTCAATGAAATATCTCTTTGACCTAAAATTGTTCATGTTATGAGCTAAAAGTTGCTATTAAGAACTACCTGGTCATGACAAAGTCCTTTTTTAATAAAAGATGGGGGAAGAGGCAAGGCTTTCACCATTGCTAGAATCTCAGCAGTCTATACAGGAACTGCTGCCCTCCCTTGTACTTCTCTCAATAAAGTGAAACAAGGGAAGCCTTCTGGGGGTGATTGATAAAGACAGATAAAGACCCAGTTATCACAGGTTCATCTTCTAACTTGCACACAACCTAGTATAAGGATTATGTTGCCATACGCCTAAGTAGAAAATATGGATGCTACCTGCAGATATGCTACATATATTATTGGATTTTTCTAAAAGAATATAAAGAATGAAGTGTAATTCTCCTGGCAGTTTGCTCAAACAATTCACCAAAATAGCCAGTTAGTACAGACAACTGAAGAAAAAAGCCAGTGAAAGGAATCTAAATATTGTACGGACTAGATAAGTGACATACTGCATGTTCCATTTTTATCTTCTTTCTGCATCATACACATTATTCCCAGATTACTTTCCAGCCTTTGTTTAAAACACAAAAACATGGATTGGAGAAATCCTCCATCACACACCCACCTCCCTACCAAGGCTTATAAGGGACTCCAAGGAAGTCAACATTTCATTTTAACATAATTATAAAGGACAATATTTGAAGGAATCACCTCTCTTCCCTAGGGAGACAGTATAAGGAATTTCCTAAAGATAATTTTCAAGAGTACATGAAGTTATAACACAAAGGTATCTTCTAAAAGGAATTAACATTGTTTTCCTTTTTTGCTATCCATATCAAACTTTCAGTCCAGCGAAGCTAAATTAATAACCACAAAAATTACCGTAAGTGCTTTCTCAACTGGTAGTTGATCTCACAAATTGGTTTTGGAGTGCATAGCTAGATGTACTTAAAAAATGCACTGGATCATTCAACAAACATTTAAAAATGTGACAAATCTCTCATCTAAAATTAATTATATAATATCTACTAAGATAACTACATAAAGTTACCAAAGGGGGAAGGACTGATTTAAAGCTAATACAATGTAGTCTTCTGGGAATCCCATCATATTTCTCAATTAATAAACTTAGAAGGGACAAAACATTAAACTGCTGTTTGAAAAGAACTGATTGCAAAATGCAGAACCATTTAATTAAGCATTTAGTTTATTTTTTTAAGTGACCTCTAAATATTTTCCACTGATGAATTTCCAAATGTTTTTGGCCTAAGTAGTCTGAAAACAATACACAGATTTAGGGTTGCAACTGAGAAAACAGGGGAGGATTTCTAAGTGAATGCTTTCGAATCCTTTGTTCTCATTATACATCAGAATGTGTACAGCAGTCAAGGCATAAAGGAAAGTAAAAATGCAGTTGAATCTGAATACCGTATTTTGCTTTCAGAACTGCAATTCTTCAATTTACATTCTGCATTTAAGATTGTTCAGGAAGCAAACTAAAATAATAAAACAAAATAAAAATGTTCTTAAATGTAATCTCCTATACTTCTACATCACGCCAATGTGCTACTGGGTATGTTATATATCCTCCCAATATATATTTAAGGAGGTGGTATGGGTCCAATAGTAAGAAAATTTGCTTATTTTTTCCTGACAATGTTCTGCTAAAAATCATTTGAATATGCTGCACTGTGATGCATTACAAGTTTGGCAGATATCAGTATTCAAAGTTATTTAAACAAATACTCCACTGACTGCATAAAAAGAAATCCTTCAAAATGCCTAAGACCAAATATATCTATATTTGCCATTTTTACATGTTTGTAAAGGTACAGTATTAAACATAAAGCTGTCCAGGAAAAATTTTCCTCAAAAAGAATAGTACTAAAATTCTATATTTAGATTCTTGGCAGTATTGATCATAATCATAGTACAAATGGTTCATAATCATAGAACAAATGTGAAGCCCTTCAAAAATACATCAATTGTGAGCTGGCTAAAAGCTAGGAGCTAAATTCTGGGGGATAATGAGGGCTTCTTATATTACTCTCTATACTTTTCTGTATTTCTGAAGATTTTTAGCCAACAAATGGCTAACAAAATTCAAATAATGGGAGGCTATATACTTAAAAAACATTTTAAAAATCTGAATCATCCACAGATTTAAAGGGAGGTAAGGAATCACCACTATTTGGACAACCAATACTGAAATAAGTTCTCTATTTTTTTTAGAATTCAAGTAAATCTCTAAAACAAAGGGGAAATTGTCCTTCAAAAAG